AAAAATTATATAATAATTGCAACTAATTACTATATCTCGATTGTAAACCTTCAGTTTAGCTTTGGGACTCGTTCCGGACACCGACTCGACTCGGGTAACTCCTAAACAGGGGTGGCGATCTCTTCCATGTACCGTAGCACCGTATCGATAAGCAAAACAAACACGTGGTTGCATTCTACTGAGTTGTCTGAATTAGGTAGGTGTAAACAATGCTGATCTTTTGGAGGGGGTAAGCTAAAATGCCCACTTTTTTTGGTAAGAACGGCAAAAAGCGAAAAATACAGAGAAGACTACTAGCACATATTCAAAAGAGTGTGAGTTCTAAAGACATTAACAGGTGTTTCACAAGTTTGCACAGTACTAAGTTTTTTCGGTGAGTGATAAACTCAGGGCTTGTCAGCAGATAGCGTATGAGAACTATCTCTAAACGACAAGTGCCATGCTGCCGTAAGTGATAAACTCTGAGCTTGTCAGCAGGTAGCGTATGAGAACTACCTCTAAATGACAAGTGCGGTTCTTCTTACGCCCTTTTCCCACATCTTACTTTTTTCTTGCAGTACGTTACTGTTTTTTAGTTAAAATGTTTTTCAGAAAAATATGGTCCAGATAATCGTTGGAAAGAGTTGTGTATTAGAAATTTTTGATCTGAAAGATATTCGAATATTTATCCAGATATCAATAGTAAACAAATATCTGAATAAATTTAGATCTGGATTGTATAAGATCATTCTAACAGCTCATTATGATGAGAAAGTTATTATTTTAGCAACTCTTTATGGTTAGTGTTAGAATGAGAAAGTTTGTATATAAATTATTCTAACAGTTCTTTATGATTAGTGTTAGGATAAGAAGGTTCATATTATCTAATAACTCTTTATGATTAGTGTTAGGATGAAAAAGTTTGTATTATAAAAATCATTATAACAGCTCTTTATAGTTAGTGTTAGGATAAGAAAATTCATGTTGTAAAGTAATTCTAATAGCTCTTTAAAGTTAGAATTTAATAATTTGATTATGGATGTTTGTACTATATATTAAAATTTCATTTATATTATATATTGCTGATATGCCTATCTTTTTAATAATATATTTAATTCACATAATTTACATGTGTAATATTAATTATTCAATATGGTACTTAAATAATTTTTATAATAATCTTTAACTCAATAATAAAAATAGAAACATGCGCTGATGCAATATAATACAATATTTATTAATTATTGCTGTTTTATTGATTTTTCTTTTGGTAATAGACTTTCGGTGTAAGAACTAAATGAATCTCTATAATTGCTTTATCTGATTTGCCTTCATTATTATTTTCATGATATGCATTTCAATCTGATGCCAAATACTGTATAAAAGAGCTGTGTCATAGACAGATGCGTTGAAGATCAAAATTTTTAATATATAGATTTTTTATTTTTTATTTTATTTTTTTTTTTAAAAAAAAACATTCTTTTAAAAAAAAATTCAAATTACCGGTAGGGTGGCCATACCACAAAAAGCGGTCTATAGTTATGCGTAGTATGGTCATTCATATTAAATTCTATTCTCTGTCTATCAGCATCAACCAATCTGAACTATGACAGATATGTGTTAATCTAGTAAGGATTATGATTCGAATAGTCCTCATTCTCAAATCACATTTAGTTGATGAAACACATGATAGAAGTTTTTGTTAAAAAAGAAATTTTATAAATGCACTGTATATACTGAAATAAGAGATTATTGTGGCTGGGTAATGCGCTATCAACCTGGCACACATTCAAGAATTGCTATGCAGCAGCATAGTAATAACCAAATTTAAATAAATTTAAGCAGTTATACGATAGAAGAATAACAAAATAAATATTTAATAAAACATGTACTGTACATATGTGACAATAGTGAATAAGCCCCATATAGCAGCATAAATTTAAGCAATCACACAATAGAAGAATGACAAAATAAATATTTAACAAGAGTATAAGAGGCTTGCACATCGTAGCAAACACTAATATGTAGTGAATAAGCTCCATGCAATGGCATAGACGGTATAATCTTCTACAAAATGTGCCATAAAAATATGAACAAATTTTAAAAATCCTATCTTACTATTATTTAAACCTTCCAGCACTACTTTATTTGCGCATCTTACATTTACATATAATAATATCTTCAATTTAAACTTTCCAGCACTACTTTATTTGTGCATCTTACATTTACATATAATAATATCTTCAATTTAATAATATTATTAATATCGGCAGTCTATACTGTAATAATATTGACAGCTATAATAATTTAGACAGCCTATAATAATTTAGACAGTCTATAATAATATCAACAACCAAAAAAATTTTAGACATATAACATTTTGAAATACTGTGGCAAAAATACTAAAAAAATTTCGCCATACCGTCTGCCGTAAATCACTCCTATTTTAGACACCCATGTATAGATGTCGCTGACTCAACTAATAAGGGCCAGAAACAAGGTATTGAGAGCACAACACTTTTTTTTACGATGACAAATATTTAACAGATTTCTTTTAGGGAATGATTAGTCCTACTATTCATCCGATGAAGAGAGTAGTGATTCTGAAGAGTCTAAAGTATTTACAATTAAGCATAGCATCTGTGTATAGCTGACCGATTCTGATTCAACAACATGCTTTGAAAAAATTACTAATTATTCGCATTTTATTCTAAAATTAAGTTTCTCTCAAGACACATTATAAGATCGACCACGAATTTCCTGACCCCAAGTACAAGTTCAACCTCAAGGCAAGAGGAATTACTACTCCTGAAAAGTTTGTTGCATAGTGGAACGAAAATCATCCCGATTGTCAAATCACTGTTGATTCATTCAAAAGGTGGACTTATCGCGATGATCAAGATCCTTCAAGTTATAATACCCATTGGAAAGAGTACGGAGATTAGCGTACAAAATCAACACTTATAAATTTTCAATTATATACGGTATACGTATACCTTCAATATTTTTTATGAATGTTTTTTATGTGTTAGTTTATATAAGCATGCATCTTGATAAAACTTTGTAATTAAAAAAGAAAAATATATAATTTGTTCGTAAACCAAATGCAACTTATTTTTTAAATATCCATTAAAAAAATCTACAATTAGGAATCCATAATTTATCACATTATAAAATGTTTATTCATCACGTATATGTCGGGTATTGATTTGTCAAACCAATTTCTATAAAAAAAAATCAAATGCTGATAAAGATTAGATAAGGGTGAATTTGGAATAAAGGCAGGGAAAGAGTAGGTTATACCAAAATTTCACAAGGATTTTTTTTTTATTAATCTTCGAAAGGTGGCTTTATAAGCAAAATTTTGAGTTATACATGATTTTTAAAAGAAAGCAATAAGTTTGCATTACACCAGATCGTGTAATCTAATTGGCTTTTTATATTACCCGTGTTTCAATTAATCTTAGCATTTATACACGTTCTCAATAGTTATCTAATCACATTGAGAGCACCCAAGTTTAGGTTATTTATTGGTCTAAGTACTTAATATGTATGAGCTGTTCACTTCTCATTTAGCATCTTATCCCGTGTAATTATCATCTGCCAAGAACATTTCTAAATTATACAGATTAATATGACCACATCCGTACGGTATTGGGTGTGAAGTACCCCTATTTTTAATATCTGTTCCGGCATTATGTATTATTAGGGTTGGTATGATATGTTTTTTAAAGAGATATTTTACACTCTATACTATACTAGTGTTAAAAATCTTATGTTCTCATATTCTCATACGAACATATCTTTAGATTTGAGAACATTCGATAATCTGATATTGTTCTCTATGAAAAAAAATTTGAGAGCATAATTACTCAAAAAGTATGTTCTCTATATAAATATTATATAAATATAATAGCATAATGCCAAATGGAAATAAAATTAGGAATCGAACGAACATAAAAGATGAGGTTGGAACAAATATTTGAATAAATGACCACTATTTTCCGAAATAAGAAATTCAAAAAAAAATAAAAATAGGGAAATAAATAAGTTTTATTGTTGAGAATATAAATAAATTTCTAAGAACATTAAATTAAATAAATTTGTTCTCATGAGAACAAAATTTCAAACCATATTTCCAAAACTGTACTATACACATCATAAAATTCTTTCGTAAATTATAGTGTTTCATATCAATATAATTCTGCTGTATTTATATACTGTTGAACCTCCCAAAATCAAATCTCTCAAAGCCGATAACCTGTCAAATCTGATAAAAAATTCTGTTTCTATTATATAGTTCTAATAATAATTTCACATCCGATAACCTCTCAATATCGATACAAAATCTGCCCACAATGCATATCGATTTGAGGAGGTTCAACAGTACAACTATTCTGTATTGGTGTTGTTCAACATTTTCTAAGTTTATATTCATCTGTTCCTAGTTAGCGCGACAATGTTGTGCAGCTACTTATTTAGTATTATTTACTATAAAAAAAAAAAGCTGCACACCCGTGTCACTGATCACTGTCCCATGATATTAAGTATATAATTTTGTGTGGCCTTATACCATTAGAATAAAAATTTTATAATATCCTTTTAACTTTAAACTATTGCTTTATTTCTAATAAATTTTCGTTATTATTTGATGCTTAGTACTGAGACTAGGATAAATTAATTCAGATTAAGCCAAACAAAATATAGATTAGTATCATAATACGTGTATTTGCTAAGTTTAATTTAAATTTAACTATAATATATTTATATTATTTTAAAAAAAATTAAAAAATTTGATAATTAAAAATTTGATCAAATATTTTCAAATATTTAATTAAATTCAAATTTTGATTTGATTTTGCGGGATACTAAATCCAGATTAGCATAACAAGACAAAAACAAAGAAAAGATGAAAAATGCAAGATATACAAAAAAAAAGATTTATTCTAACCCTTACCCTAATTTTAATTAAGTAATCAAAATTATATGAATATATCTGGCTTTAGCCAGCCTCTCAAAAAGAAAATTAGAATAATAATTAATAATCAAGTGATATTGCTCCTTCTTTGAATATGCTCTAGCTACGTACAACTACCCAGCAGCACTGACAGATTTTCACTGATCTTGCAATCTAGAACCTTCAAATCAATAATTATAATTGGTTATTATAAAAATTTTTAATTTTTTTTAAAATCTTCTAGCAAAGGTTTCTCTATAAATACTTGAACAAATTTAGTGAGAATTTTATTTTAATTCTATATTTTATAAAAAAAGATTTATTGAATTTTTGTTTAACGATCATTAAGAAAATATCGATAAAAGTGTGAAAAAAACCCCAAATATCTTAGAGAAAAATAAGCTAAAATCATGAAAAACGATCTTTTTTAAACCTTTAAATGAATATTTCTTAACAACCACAAGTACAAATTTGATGAAATGTTTCTATTTTAATTCTATGATTCTATAGAATTAAAATAAAGATTTTTTATCAAATTTATAGGTGATTATTGAAAAATCCTTGTTTAAAGTTCAAAACAAAATTTGGTCACAGCATCTTTTAATAGGTATTGAAACTTTGAACAAATATTACTCGACACTTACCTAACCAAATTTTTTATTTTAATTCTATGGATCTATAAAATTAAATCAAAAAAATGATTGAATTTAGTTAGGTAAGTGCTGAGTAAGCTTCACTCAAATTTTCAGTACCTTTTAGAAAAAGCTGCGGCCAAATTTTGGTTTAAATTTTAATAAATATTTCTTAACAACACCTGTACAAATTTGATTAATTTTTTTATTTTAATTCTGTAAATCTGTAAAATAAAAAATATTCCATCAAATTTGTGCAGGTGGTTGTTAAGAAACCTTTGCTTAAAGTTTAAATAAAAAATTATTATAACTTTATTTTTAAAAGTATTATTTTTAAAACCTATAAACGAAGGCTTCTCAACAACTACATATACAAATTTGATAAAATTTTTTTATTTTAATTCTATGGACTTAAAGAATTAAAACAAAACAAATTTATCGAATTTAAATAGGTAATTATTGAAAAGTCTTCGTTTAAAGTTCAAAAAAAGTTTGGCCACAGCTTTTTCTAAAAGGTACTGAAATTTTGAGCGAAGCTTACCTAACTAAACTCAATCTTTTTTTTTTATTTTAATTATATAGATTCATAGAATTAAAATAAAAAATTTTGATCGAATTTGGTTAGGTAAGTATCGAATAATATTCGGTCAAAGTTTCAGTACCTATTAAAAAATGCTGCGGCCAAATTTGGGTTAAACTTCAAACGAAGATTATTCAATAATTACCTATTTAAATTCGATAAAATTTTTTATTTTAATTCTAGATTCATAGAATTAATAAAAAATTTGTACTTGTGGTTGTTGAGAAATATTCATTTAAAGGTTTAAAAAAGATCAATTTTCGCGAATTTAGATTATTTTTCTTTTGATATTTGGGGTTTTTTTACACTTTTTTTTATTGATAGTTTCTCGATGATTGTTAAACCAAAACTTAATAAATCTTTTTTTCACTAAATTTGAATTGAGAACTTTCGCTAAAAGTTTTTTAAAAAATTAAAAATGCCAATCACAATTAAGGATTCGATTACAGGTCAGTGAAAATCTGTTGGGGTAGTTGATTTGGTGAGTGATTATATGAGTGACTTATGTACTTTATTATTTGTTAAAGTGGGCATTAGTTATTCCCGAAGGGCCAAAAGACCTTTATTTATACTATTTACTACCTATTATTACACGATAAAATATGCCGTATAGCGGGATTACACTCTTTTTTTCTCCCAATTGGACCTACTCGCTAGCGGATCTGACGAATAATTCGGCCGGCAAACCCAAATAGGGCTTATAACGACACAGCATGCACGTGACTTTTTCCGTTATCGGCACAGCAAATGATCGATACTAAAAATTAGTTTCTTTAAACTTTGAACGAAGATATCTTGACAACCATCTAAACAGATTCAATGAATTTTTTTATTTAAATTCTATGGGCTTTTATAATTAAAATAAAAAAAGCTCATTGAATTTGCTTGGATGGTTGTTGAGATATATTCATTTAAAGTTTGGTAGAGAATTAAACCGTTTACTAAAAACTTTTTTAAGACTTTGAATGAAGGCATTTCAATAACTATCAAAGCAAATTCAGTAAACATTTTAATTTTGATTCTACAATTCAATAGAGCCAAAATAAACAAAAACTTATCGAATTTGCTTAAAAGGCTGTTAAGATATCTTCGGTTGAAAATCTATTTAAATTCTATTTAATAAACGTTTAATTCTTTACCAAACTTTAAACGAATATATATTAACAATTATTTAAGCAAATTCTATAAATTTTTGTTTATTGAATTGTAGAATTAAAATAAAAAAGGTTTACCGAATTTGGCTTAATTGTGTCGAGATATCTTTGCTCAAATTCTTGAAAATTTTTTATTCCTAATCGATGTTTTAATCATTTACCCAACTTTAAACGAATATATCTCGGTAACTTTCTAAGCAAATTCAATGAGCTTTTTTTATTTTAATTAACAAGCCTGTATAATTAAAATATTAAAAATATATTAAATCTGTTTAGATGGTTGTTAAGATATCTTCGTTCAAAGTTTAAAGAAACTTTAATTTTTAGTATCGATCATTTGCTGTGAGAAAGTCACGTGCATGCTGTGTCGTTGGTTTCCTGAGGTCACGTATCACATGCCTGACACCAGGTCATATATCGGTCTCACAAACAATCTTAAATGTTTTTATTATAATGTTGTGCTACAAGCACAAATAATACAGAGTTCCACAAAATTTAT